TTAAACACTAATGAAAACAAACCTATACATATTATATTTAATTACTGACAATAGATCCTCCTGAAAGTTTCACACTGGACCTTTAATGTGTTTTAATTCAACAGAAACAACCTGAAAATCTCTCATATTAAAACAAACTTTTGTCCGAAAACTTCAGGAGTTATAGCAGGAAGCTCATTGAGGAAATAGATTTTTATTTTGGCCCTTTAAAGGTTTCAGAAAGGACATTTTGGTGCTTAAAAGTATAAATTAACAACCGTTCGCGCTCTCCAAAAGTTTCGATCGATACCTTTTTTTGGCTTTCGGCTGCAACCTGTGAAATACGACCTGATTGTCTCTGAATGGACCCTAACGAGCCAGAAAGTAGACATAAAGATAATTATATTATCACTTGCCCTTTTCATCCTGATAATGGAGATTATGTTATATATTTAGGTTTTAATCGAAGCCGCCGTACACCAGCTACTCCTCCCGTTGGATGTAACATCAGCTGACTGCTGCCCTTTGCTCGCCATCCCACACTGCGATCGCCCGGCTGGGATGATGAATGAACATTTCATCATGAACCGTGTTGTAGCTCCAACAAGGGGCTTAACCAGCATGTGTACCTTACAGAGGTTATTGATTTAGTGTTTAGTTACAGGCAGAGAGGAGGAGGAGGGAGGGAGGGAGGAAGATGAAACAGTCAGATTGGAGAGAAAAGGGATAATATTTAGCTCTAAAAACACGAGGATCAAATCATCAGACTGCGTGATGCCGGTTCGTACGCCGGCGAGTGCCGTGATTACTGGAGGGGTTGTACGGAAAGTGGGACACACACGTGGGACGGATTGATTTTTGTGGGAGTGGAAGTCAGAGAGGACGAACCCTTTTTAATCATCATTAAAGTGATTTATGGCGTCTCATATAGAATCTGTTTGTAAAATATGTTCAGTGTACAGAATTCGAGGCTGTAAATTCAGCTTCAACGATGCGAAAGAGAGAAAAAAATACAAAAAGTTAAAGGAAGTTATAAATAATAAAAGTCCTTATAAGTTGGGAGGGTAAAGCGAGGGTGGATGCAATCAGTAACTAAACCACTAGATGGCACTAACGTCTACACACTGGACCTTTAATGAGTCAACATTTAGTTTGTTTTTTTCTTTGATATTAAGTTAAATTATAAGATTTTAAGTCAGAAGTTGATCAAATATCTATAATATCTATAATTCTGACTTATTTTTTATTTCAGTCTCAACATGTAGAACAAAGAGGAATAAAAACAGTTTCAGATAAACAAGTTGTAATAAGTTTTTATTGTTTTTATCTTAATTTATACAGATTTTTAGAGCCTGGAACACTTTTACTTTTACTTTTATTTTTATCTTTATCATGTTAAAGTTATTTGTTGTTTTTAACTAAATCTACCTTTGGGTGCAAATAAAGTCAACTTAAAACTTTAAAACAACAGTCTTAACAATTTTAATCATTTTGACTTAAGTCATAATTTTAATTTACTATCTTTAGTGAATCTTAATTAATCTGTCTCAGAATTTTTCTCGGCTCAAATTTGCTTCCATAGATTCAAATATAAAATGAACACTTGGTTAATTGTACTGTAAAACCTGATGAGTTTGTTCAACTTAGACTGACTTAAAAACTGTTTAAATGTATTAACAATTAACAATTTAAGCATGAAAAAATATTAGTTTACAAGAAACTCTAATTATTGTTAAAAGTTAATTAAGTTAATTAAACTTATTTAAAATATTTAAAACAGAATTTATCTGAATACTTTAATGCATCTTTATACAGATGTTACTGTTTCCTCTTTAATGTTACACTTAAATATTAAAATAATCAATTTAACACAGACTGACTGAACTGGGACACTTTGTCTTTATTCAGTTTGTCATACGTCTATTTTTAAGTTCCTCTATGTTAATGTTGACTTTGAGGATCCGTGTTCATATTATTTAGCTTTAAACGTCCAGTGTGTAACATTTATATAAATATAATATATATAGAGTATATATTGGTAACCTGCAAGTTAAATTACACTGAACTGAGGCACATTGTACATTTAAGTACAGTAAAAGATTGTTTATTGACTTATAATAACTTTATTTAGAAACAGTGTTTACAAAGTGTTTACATAGAAGAATATCAGCAATAAAATAAGATTAAAAGCAATATTAGGGACAGAATACAACCAAAAACGCACCAATAATCAGATTATATATACTATTAAAAAGAGATTAATGACATAATATAAAAATTAAAGATTATAAAAGTGTGTTTATATCAACTTTTAGCTCATAGGTTGTACAGATTTTAGGGAATAATTTTAAGATACTCAAAGCATCCATGTACATCCCACATTAAAAGATACACGATATTATTTATTATTAACAGCCAGAAAAACATGCATTAAAAGCAATTTGAGGTCGTATCAGATGAAGTCATCATCAGGTTTCCCAGTTTGTGCCTCCTCGCACTTAGAGGAGAGACGGAGGCGGCGAGGAGGCGAGAGGAGTCGACATGAAAGTTGTTTAACAAAATAAGACGTCTGGTTGCTTCAGAGTCAACAACTGCATCACCTGCCTGTTGTTCTCTTACAGACGAACATAACAGAGTTCATAACAATTATTATAAATGAACTTTTAATTAAACTGACAGCGTTGCTTAATGTGACACGAATGTTTGTTTATCACCGTGTTTCTGTACTCTCAGGAAATCTACTGCACCAAACTCCCTTTGAGAAACATCACATTTAACAGTTCCTAACGTGTCCGTAATAAACACGTAACTCTAGAAACACAAGATGAAGTTCGTCCACAGTCTGTCAATTCGGCATCGATATATAAATTATTTTGACGATCTTGACGCCTCAACTCGCTACAGCGTCCGTAATCAGTGGGGGGATTGTTTAATAATTAGTATTTCTCACTAAAATAAGAGGCTGGAGGATTAAATGTACGCCTAATTAAACACAACGATGTTAATTCACCGTCTGTTATCGTGTGTGTGTCTGTATTGGAGGGTTTTTTGGGCCATTACCATAGTAACCACCTGTATGAAGCTCACTCACAGCTCCTAAAGGTGCATTTTTAGGGATTGAGGCGTCCTGTCAAGAGGACGGAGGAGACAAGGAGGCACAAATTAGAGAAAAAGTGTCCGTTGATCAATCAACCGTCTTCCTGCTTTGTCGGACAGGTGCGGTCGGCGGTGAGGAAGCGGTTCCACCGGTGGCAGGAGCAGCACTCGATCCGGGCCAGGATGACCCAGGCCATGTCCATCCCCACGTCACCTTCACGGGTCAGCTTCCACAGCATCAAGCAGTCCACGTCGCTATGAGAGCCGGAGGAAGCAGCTTTGTCGCCGTCATCATATTTTCTGCCACATTCACTGGAGGACACTGAAACACTTTCTGAGCTGGGGGAGGCGGCGAGGGAGGGAGGGGGAGAGACACTGCGGCAGCCTCCTATAAAAACCTCAGGAGGGACTTTATTTTCAGGACGTGGACGAGGATGAAGGACACTGCAGACTTTATGAAACGAGAGGTTAGTGGATCAAAAGATAGCACAGTTTGGATCTGTGTGAATGTACAGCACTCCTTATTTCTTTCTGCTCGCCATCGACGTTTCTCCGTCGTATTCCCGCTTTGCACACTTTTATTTTTCCGCTATCTTACGTCGGAGAGCTCGTGACGCTGGACTGCACTGAACTGGATTCCAACCCAGCGGACACTGGACACCAGACAGAGACTAACTTATTAAAAAAATGACATTTTCTTGCTTTTATTTTCTTTATTTTTTTATTGTTATTTTGCCGTCACAACCAAACGTCTGGTCCGTTGTGTAATTTTTTGTGTTGTGTTCTTTCTTCTTCTGTTTTCAGTCGGCTTGGTGCGGTCGTCAACTTTCCAGAAGGTTTTAAAACATTCCAGACTTTCTACCTGAAGAGTTTTGTTCCAAAATAAAACGTCTGGTCAGGATGAGATCAGAGAAGAGGAGCTGGAGTCAGGAGGCAATTAGCCTAGCTTAGCGTAAAGACTGGAAGCAGCTGGAACAGCTAGCCGGCCTTTCTTCACAGTCCCAAAACAATCAGCGGTCTTTATTTTGTGTTTTAAAGTCAAAATTAAATTAAAAATGTCACTTTAACCCTTTAAGATCAGATCTTCAGTTATGTTGTTGCTCTATTTAACCATTTATGCTAAGAAAATGTACAAAAACTAAATTTATGTGTATTTTTATATCAAAATCTGAATAATTTTGTCTTGTTGGAAACACAATGTGACACAGAGTTACTGATTTCAACCAATAATATCATGACATTCAATCAAACTTCAACTTTTAGCGACACAGAGCGAATATTCATTAGTTAGCTCCCTGATTACTGTACAAACACAACTTTAGCAGTGATTTGGGTGGATCATATTTTATGGATAGAATATTGTCGGGTTTTCCCTCTGACGTCCTCCGGTTACCCTGCCTCCCAGTGAACACAACCTCAGTGACAGAGGACAGTTTGACGACAGCGGTACCGAGGTGATTTATGGGAGTTTCCAGATGGACTACTGGCAGACTGCAGGTTTTTGTACAGTTGAAGAAGCGACCTCATACAGCCTGCACAACACAACTACTGACCTAAAAGCTCCTCTAGTTTACTGCCGTCATTAAACAGAAATGTTACTTATATAATTTATCTTCTGCAGTAAATCTCCCGAAAAAACAGAAGAGAAAGTTGGCAGCTGCAATCAGTGAGATGTAAGTGTATCTTGAGATTAACGAGGTGTTTTTGGAACAAAACTCTTCAGCTGAATAAAGAGACTTATTACTATTGTTGCCTCTCTACCAGCAAAGCCAGATAAGGAGAATCATTAGCCGAGGAGAATAACAGCAATCAGGACGGGGTTCTCGCTCTCGTGTCGACCGACTTCCTGCTCGGTTGAGTTGAAGTGCGACAATCTAAAGGTGTACGCAGTAACTCTGTTTACTGATTTATTGTAAATATATATATATATAAATAACTGAAGATCCAGTGGAGTCACAAATATAAACCAAAAAAAACAAAACAAAAACAAAAAGACACAAACCACGCACTGTGAATCATATGGGCACAATATCCATGTGAGCAACAATTCACAGTCCACATTCCTACTATACCAGTATGCCTAGCACCTGTGCATTTCTATGAACTGCTGTTTATGTCAAACTGTAAATGAACCTCATCTTTCTGTCGCCCTAAAAACAATCTCTTTTCTTTTATTTTAAGTGATGTGTGAGCTCTGGTTGAAGGTCACATGTCGCCACTGTGATGTGTTTTATTCTGGTGTTTTTCATCTGTTGCAGCCGGTGCAGCTGCTGCTTCGTGGAGAGGTTTTATTATTTTATTATTTAGGGTGAAAGAACGACTGTTTGCTCAAATTAAAGAAAAAAAAAGTATAGTTTTCATGCACTTTTGTAATGTAAAAGAATTTACCCCATTTTTTAAAGGCAGGAACCTTAAAATGTTAAAGCTGCAGCAGGTAACTTGAAAATTACTTTTTGGGATATTTGCGGAAACTTTCTCTTTATCCTGACAACAGAACATCAGTTAGACTCTCTTTCACCTTAAGAGACCCTTTATATCATTGAGTAAACTGACTATATTACATATTTTATTAGTATTATATTAAATAATAACAATAATAGTAGAGAACAACAGATAAACTGCACAATGAACCCAAACAGTGAAC